GCTAAGTCATAGGCTAAGTGTATGTTTAACTTTGTAAGAAACTGCCAAAATGTTTTCCAAAGTGGCTGTACCATTTTTGATTTCCACCAGCAATGCATCCTCACCAGTGCTTATTGTTATCAGGTTTTAAAAAAAAAAAACCTGTGTAGTGATGTCTCACTGTAGTTTTAATTTGCAACACGTAATGATTTGTGATGTTGAGCTTTTCCTTCATGTGTTTATTTGCTGTTTGTACACCTCCTTAGGTACAGCATTTTCAAAAATCTTTCCATTTTGTAACTGGGTTATTTTCTTATATTTGAATTTTGACAGCTCTAAATATATGGTGAATATAAGTCCTTTATTCTCCCAGTCTGTGACTTGTCTTTTCATTTTCTTAACAGTGTCTTTCACAGAGCAAAAGTTTAAAATTTTGATGAAGTCCAATTTATCAATATTTTCTTTCATGGATTGAGGTGTCATATCTAATCCTATATCATAAATATTTTCTCCTACGCTTTCTTTTAAAGACTTTAGAGTTTTACATTTGTGTCTATGATGCATTTTGAGTTAGTTTTTGTATAATCTGTGAGATATAGATCAATGTCATCATAAATATTTTCTTCTATGCTTTCTTTTAAAGACTTTAGAGTTTTATATTTGTGTCTATGATGCATTTTGAGTTAGTTTTTGTATAATCTGTGAGATATAGATCAATGTTCTTTTTGTTTGTTTGTTTTACATATGAATGTCCAATTTTTCCAGCACCAATTGTTGCAGAGACTCTCTTTTCTCCATTGAATTGCTTTTGCAACTTTGTCATAAATTCAACTAATTGGTCTGGGTCTATTTTTGGACTCTATTCCACCTATCTCGATGCCGCTATCCATTTGCCAATACCACACTGTCTTGATTACTGTAGCTTTATAGTAAGCCTTGAAATTAGGTAGTATGAGTTCTCAAACTCTGTTCTTTTTCAAAAATGTTTTACCTATCCTAGTTATTTGCTTTTTCATGTAAACTTTAGAATCGGCTTGCCAATATCTGCAAAAACTCCTGCTGGTATTTTGATTGCTTCATCTTTACTCCTCCACTCTCACTAGGTTATTTCAAAACAAATGATCCCAGATACTGTTCTCATTTCACCCATATGGATTTGGCTTCTTCCTAAATAAAAAAATCTCTGACTCTTCATGGCAATCAAATAAATGATTACTGAGCAATATTCCTGCAACGGAATATTGAGCTAACTGTATTCCTGCCTTTCATAGCTGACTTTTAAATAGTGCACTACACCTACATGTATTAACACACTTTTGTAGCTCAATTTGTGGAGAATTAACATCTCAACAACACTGAGTCTTCTAATCCATAAACATGGTGTTTCTCTCAATGTATTTAGGTCTTTGTTCTTTAGATAATTATTTGTTTTTCACTATATAGTTCTGCACTTATTTTGATATATATACATCTCCCGAAGTACTTCAATTTTTTGGTGCTATTGTAAATGATACTTTTTAAAATTTCAAGTTTTCACTTGTTCATTGCCAATATATATAAATATGATTTATTTTTGTATATTGACCTTATATCTTGCAACCTTGCTTAATTTGTTTAAGAGTTCTGGGTGCTTTTTGTGTCCATTTTGTATAATCATTTCATCTTCAAACAGAGATAGTTTTATTTCTTCCTTCTATCTCTATGACTTTTATTTCTTTTTCTTGCCTTATTGTACTAGCTGAGTGCTGTGCTATATTTTAACAGTTCTCTGGAACTTCCAGATGTTTTTTACTATCTTCAAACATAGTATGCATAGTTGTTTTGTAGCATTTCTTTGATAATTCTGATACTTGATGCCTTCTTGTGTTTGTTTCCCTGTTTTTGCTGTGTATTAGTTTGCTAGGGTTGCTGTAACAAAGTACCACGAACTGGGTGGCTTAAACAACAGAAATGTATTGCCTCACAGTTTTGCAGGCTAGAAGACCAAAATCAAGGTGTTGGCATGGTTGGTTCCTCCTGAGGGCTCGGACAAAGAAATCTGTTCCATGTCTGTCCCCTAACTACTGGTAGTTTGCTGGCAACCTTTGGTGTTCCTTGGCTTGGAGATTCATCACCCTGATCTCTGCCTTCATGTTTACATGGCATTCTCCCTGTGTGTATTATGTGTCCACATTTCCTTTACTTAAGAACACCAGTCATATTGGATTAGGAGCCTACCCTACTCCAGTATGACTTCATCTTAATTAACTGTATCTGCAGTGACCCAATATCCAAATAAGGTCACATTCTGAGTTACTGGGGACTTCAACAAATGAATTTTGGTGGGATACTATTCAACCTATAGGATGTTGGTTCTCATTCATGGTGCCCTGTTGCTTTCTATGCCTGGTTATCTCTGACTATATGCATGTCATAGAATTGAAAACATTATTTTCTGTAATAATTTGAAGTCTAAATAGAAGGCACCTTCCTTTAGAGAAGATTGCTTGCTTCTGCAAGTATCTGGGGTGAGTTACATCTAGGAAAACTATTAACCAACTTCAAGGATTCAGGTTCTCTGAATTACCCAAATGATGCAAACTCAAACTGCAAATCTACATAAGAATTGGTTTGCCCAAATCTGGCTCAGAGTCACTCAGATTTTGTAGCTCCCTGGGATCCCACATCATTGTAGGGAGGGTCTTCTATTAGACGGTCCATCTGTACGGGCCCCGTACTTCAATATCTGACCATCTCCCTCACCTTCCACCCAGTGAAGACATGGAAGTAAAATTCAAAATT